GCAGTTACTTCGGTGTCTATTAGTCCTGTGGAACATTAAAAATCTCCCATGTGGGGCGCAAAATGACAATAACCAACTATGGTGCAACCATAACGAGCATTCAAAACGTCTGGACTGTATCCCATTCTTAGGAAATTTCTAGGTTTCCAAAACGGAGACTTGAGGGAAGACTGGACCTCTGATGTTTTTGCAAATTCCTACGCACCTTTATAGCTTTCACAGATAGTTTTATGTTGCAGAATATAGGAAAACCACTCGGTCATAAGTCAGATTAATCCGCCTGTTAGAGAGCTGTGTACTAAATTGAAACTTTTTTATTTTTCCAGTTCTTCCATGAGGCCAATGAGCTTGAGTCAAAGATGGAAAGACAGTTGGCCATTGCCAAAGATCGCCAGGAGCTGAACCCCGGACGACTGATCTACAAGGAGACCTCACGACTAGCCAACGAAATAAGGGTAAGATACGTAGGCTCTTGGAGTTGTTTTCCTTCTTTGAACAATCGCTTTGCCCATAAGTCATGCTTTTAGCATGGAACGAAATTAGAGGACTGTTCTCTGGTCGAGAGTAGAATCGTTTTTCGAAGTGCTTTTTTGCCACCTGGTAGCATGCACCCGGCGGAATGCGTGAGTTTTAAGTAGATGATTTGAGGATTTGACGGCAGAGCAGTATACCTACTGATGTCGGCAGTCGGCTGCGAGAGCCTATTTACGGATAATTACCGTTAGGTCAGAGAAAAGGAATATAAAGTATGCTGCTTACCAAGTGGGGACAGGGGAAAGCAGGGCAGTGTAAGCTTAATCAGAGGGAAGCAAACTGAAGACCGAAAGTAGGAGGGGAGGGCAGGAAGGCCCAGGAGGGCTTGATATTGTCACAGTTTGCCTAAATGGACGGAGGGTGCCGGCTTAGGTGCTACACTCTCCACCCTCTCTGACGAAGGACACTGTCTACGGGATTAGACTTTCGTTGTACTTGCACTATCTCCACAGTGAAATTATCGAGGGTTGGGAAGACTCTCACCAAACAGAGCATCATGGAAGTGGGGCAGAGGGCGAGAGAGCGTGATGATTTTTGCATAGGAACTGCTCTCCGAAACCCTTATAGGCAATTCGTTGACGGCAAGCAAAATGAGCCTCCAAAAGACAAGGCCTGACCTGGACACACGACCAATCTGCTGTGATCCGGTGCATCCAACGTCAGGAGGATGGGAAGTAGCATATACAAACAGGCTGATTTCCGTCTGATCTGAAAGCACAACCCTCGGAGACAAAGTTTTGGTTAGTGGCTGTCTGATTAGCCCTGATTAGCGCAATTGAAGCCGAAACGGAATTCCGGCGTCTTGTCGCTTCTCTAGGATGCATTTTGAAATGGATATTCAGGTAATGAAGTAGCGCGAACTCTAGAACACAATGTGGATCATCAAAATCATGCCACAAAATGTCTAGCAAAACGTTTGCAACCGCTAACCCCCTGATTTAAAAAGCATAAACAGTTGAAAATGGCTATACCTTATTAATTAATTAAAGATTGCATTAACTAATAATTACATAATTACATACAAATTGATTAAATTTTTTAATCATAGAATATTTAGGCGACTGTCATTGGATTCAAAGGACCAACTATTCATCATAGGCAATAGCCAATATAACTAGGCATTATAAGTCGTACAATAGCGCGTAGTCCATAAATGCCCTTACTTCTCCTTAAAAACCCAATCGGAACGCAGACCTTTCCTCTTAGTAGTCAAGACGACACTGCTGCAAAAGAACACAGTTGATATACCTTTGTGTAGGTTTTTCGGCTTCTGACTTCTCTGACTCTGTATCCAGCAGTCACGCGTACGTCAAGCGTAGTGATAAAAACTATCAAGGCAGCACAGTACTATTCAGCAAAAATAGGAAAGGATAAACGATATACAAAGCTCAACAATGGATACACCAAATCAAGAGCGAAGGTAGTCGGCAAAATCGCCTGACTTTATACAAGGGGACAAAACAAGATCAACAGTAATGCCACACAGGGTGAAACAAGTCTTGGGAAAG